TTGTTCTATCGTGAATAGGTATTACTTTGATCAAGTCAGGGTTAATGTGTTGTAACTGTAGCTTTAACTTGTCAAGGTTTTGGGGAATTAGAGGTTTATCAGCATGTTTTGTGGTGCGTTGTATTTTAATCCAACTGGCAGGGATGTTGTTAAAGAAGTAGTGCTTTCTAAGTCTCTAGAAATTTCAACAAGCAGTTTGGGAGAAGTGATTGGTATAGTAATGTTTAAATGTTGGACTTGAGTATAATCCTCAGGAAGGTTTGGTTTATTAGTAGGATTTACTGACATGTAAGAAAATAGGAGAGGTAATGTGAATTTGTATCAATGTTCAATTTCAGCTAGAAACTTTTTGGCAAAAGTCTTACCCTGTATTGGGAAGGTATATGAGTGTTGAGTTTTGATGGTTGTTAGATCTAGTAGTAGTTGTGGTTTTTGAATAAGGTAATTACTGGGTAGTTGTTTGAAACCATAATGGGTCGAAGAAGTTTGATAAACTTCATTAGTTCATCAGCATCTTTTGGGTTACATGGGAAATGCTGTCTGAGGTTATGAGGTAGCTGTTGGAGTGTTAAAGGAAGTGCTGGTTTAGGTGCCGGCAAGTCAAAAAATTTTGGTGGTAATTGTTTCTCCAATTCATAAAGACTTGAGAATTTTTTTCGATATTCCGAAAGGAATGGTAGTGAAGAACGATCAGTAATAGAGAATAGGTCTTTGACTGATGGGTCGAGTTCTGCAGGATTATTTGGTAGCTTAATGCGCTGCTGTTTGAAGTATTTATCAGGGAGGAGTTCAAATTTGTAAATTTTTCAGAGAGCTGCCACAATCGCTTTAGTATAATTTCGATTTTGGATAGGTAATTTAAAAGGAAGTATTTCTAGTATTTCAGTTTGTATTTCTTTGACTGATGTGGGGAGTGGTTGAAGTCGGTCTGCTAATACAGCTCTGATAATTCTTCTTGTATCTTCAAAACTGGTTGGTAATTCGATATGGGTGAAGTAAGTACAGTAAAAGATTTTATGAGTGATGTCGTGTGGGTTGGTTTTTAGAAAGTCAATGTTAGTGATGTAATCAATTGCAATTTTTTCTTTAAGTTTTTCCATGATCTGGTTCCTATTGTTTTTGTTAATAAATCTAGTTTCATGGATCCTTTTGTATTTTTCAAGAGCCATATTGTATAATGCCTCAAACTCTCACTGATGTTGTGGTATGGACTCTTTAACGCGAGTGAATGATTTAAAGAATGCAGTATCGTAGTAGTTGAATTTGGAATTGATTGCCATAGGTAGGTAGGTAGTGAACTAGCTTTATATCTTAGGAAATCTGTCATATTTGCTTCATCTTTAAATGCATCAAGAATTTTATCGTTGCTCCACTGTTGGATGTCAAATGGTTTTTTCCTTTGAGCAAGTGTGTTGACTATATTCTGGCTCCAAAGAGCTGAGGTTGCTAATTGTAGATCAGGTTTAAGTGCGGCAGGTCTGCGAGTGGCTTGGCTATAAGATAGGGGCTTTTCGGGGTGGTCTGGTTGTTTGAGTCAGTAACCCTCAGGTATCCAGGTCGGTGGAGGTTATGGGTTGGGGTCTGTATCCATTGCTTGGGGTCCAGGGGTCTTAGAGTGAGCTGGGTCTGGTTGGATTTGTTTGTTTTGTTCTGAGTGTAGGAATATTTCTATTTCGTCTGGGGCATTGGTGTCGGGACCCGACCAATCCGGGTTTGTTGTTTTGTTAGTGTGAATTAATGATGTCATATTGGTGTCATGTGCCTCCATGTGATCTACAGACAGGAGTGAGCTAGATTGCCCACTTTTTGGTTTATTGTATAGGGCATGTTGGTGATAGTGTTAACGACCTTTGGAGTTAGTGGAGTTTTTGCTAGATGTAATAGAAGTAATCTGTGGTGTGGGTTGAGAGAATAATTCAGAAGATGCTTCTGGGTCTGTATCAGCTTCGTTTGTTAATGCTGCGCCAAATAACTTTTCTAAGAACGATTGAAAGTATGTTTTTTGTTGTGACATGTTGTCAGGAAGCTCCAAAGGAGCTAAAACTTAAGGAACTTGTGTTTTTTGGGTACTGTAAATTCTCTCTATCTTGCTGATTGTAATTACTTATTGTGTACCAGAGTAACTTGCTTGCCCAAAGGGCTTGTTGTATGAATTACTATAATACTAAAAACTTGCAAAGATTTTGTTTACTTTTTACTATTGTCAATGATTTTCAGGGGTGAACCTTTATACTAATTTTTTAATTTAATAAATTATTAATTTTTTAAAAAATAAATTTAAATATATTAATAATAAATAATTAATACTAACCTGAATAAATATTTTTAACACTAATATCTGTTGATCTTTCAGTTTTTTGTTCAATTAATTTTTTTAAAATTAATTGAATATGTAATAGAATTTTGCCAGATAGAGATGGATAATGATTATGATTTCTCTTACAATATAATATAATAAAAGAGTATGATTTTAAATCATGTGGTTCATATTTAATAAATTTTACTTCACATTCCAGTCTTTTTAATTTTAATTTTGTTGCTTTATGTTGATAAATATGTTCATAAGCTTAAAAAATAAAATAAAATAAATTAATATAATAAAATATTAAAATAAATAATTAATATATAAAAATTAAATTTAAAATTATTCATACGATATTGATTTTTAGTTGAAGAAGAAGAAAAAATAGTTTTGCATATTAAATTATCCTAAAATAAAAAATAATTAGTAATTTAAAATAATTATAATAATTATTTTTTTATTACCTCATGTGTTGATACTACTCCATTATTTTTAAACAAATCTTTTAATAATTCAATATTACAACCTGATCTAATTTTCTGTACTCTATGATTTTTTTCACCAGGATGCCAATTATCACAACCAATAAAAGGTTTTATAATTTCCATTTCTCCTCTTGAAGAAGTTTTTCGAATATTATATTCACCATTAGAAGTATTTTCATTTTCATCTCTTAAAATGTTATAATATTGAATAAATAGATTTTCTTTGCATATATAATTATTATGAGGACAATTTGCTTTAATTGTTGCAAGATATTCTCTATAAATAAAATAAATTAATAAATAAAATAAATTAATAAAAAAAATAAATTAATAAATAAATAAAATAAATTAATAAATAAAATATTATAATTAAACTTTTAAAAATAATAAATAAAATTTAAAATTTATTACCCAATTATATTGGTTGTAATTTGATTTTCTTCATTCAAATTATTATTATTATGAAGAATTAAATCAGTATCAGGATTAACATTATAATATAGAGTTTTTGCTATATTCATATTAGCAATTTCACAGACTTTTATTCTTTTACAAGTTTTTATAGTTTCATAACAATCTACTTCTAAAAAGGAACAAAATACTTTGCTATACAATCCTTTATATTCACCTAATAAATATTGAATCTAATATTAAAATATAAAATTTTAGTTAAAGTTATTATTTAATTTAAATAAAAAAAATATATTAATAAATAAAATAAAATAACTAACATCTTTAAATAAAAAAGATGAATTATCCCATTTTTCAATACAAAAAATATGAGCAATTTATGCAGAAAACTGAATAACAGATTTGCAAACCCAGTTAATAAATTTGCAAACCCAGATAGCTACACTTCAAAATGACAATAATCTTCTCCAAAAAGACTTAACTTGTGAGCAACAAAAACAAAATAATATTGAGACAGACTTGAATTTAATGACTACAACTTATCCCTTAAACCGTATATTTTGGTGTACAAATTTGTATGCTAAAATAGTTAAGACAAAGTAGATCCAAAAAAAAAATTTTTTTTATACAAGGTATAATTTAAATCGGTCACAATAACTTCTAAGAACCCAGATTACCTACTGAATTCACAACTACGATGTACATATCATGTAACCTAAACAAAAAAGCACAAATTTGTGCGGAAGCCGTGAAATATGCAGGTTATTTGCCCGAACTTTTG